CAGTATATGTAGAAGATGGAAATCCCCATCATCCAAAAATATCAGAACCCAAATTGCTCACTGTCCAACAAAACTGAAACCCAAATCACCAACCATTTTACAATACAAACCAAAATCGCCCACTGTCCTACAATGCTGGAAACGCAAATAACTACAAAACTGGACACTGAACACCATCTTATAACCACCCACCAGCCTACAATACTGAGTATCGACTATAATTTTAAGTTACCTAGTTGAGACACCATACGTCATTGATGCTGGAATCCTTCTGGTTCGTACTTTACTCTGTTCTTCCTCTGTTACCCTGCGTCTCACATCATGTGTAGCCCGGTACTGATATTGTTCTGGAGCTGAGACTAATCCAGCAGTCACAGCTGCTTTGTTTAAAGCAACGAAATCCCGGTCTCGTTTCTGTTCCTTACGTAATATTGGATATGAAGTTATTCCCGTCCAGCCTGATACAGCTTCTGCAGCACCACCATCTTTAGTTATGTTGGGTCTGCCATACGTGAAGTGACTGCCAGGTAATGTTATACCTCTCTTCTTAGGCTGGCCAAGTTCATTCTGCAATGGATGAATTAAATGAAAGTTCCAACCATAACTGAAGATACGATTTGTAGACTCGTGAAACATCACACCAGTTAAAATACCCACAACATCAGTTTTAATTGATTTATCACCCAGTAACCAGTAACCAGACATTTATTTCACTGTCCAAAATAGTCTGGAATTTATGCTTATATTTCACTTCCACCATAACCATGACATTGATTGCCTGATAATTATAGCATGTTGCTAATCTGAATATGTTAATTCAGATAACAGTTAAATTAGTAGTTTCCATAGCAATGAATAACAGCATGACCATCTAATTTTTCATGATGTTGCAATAAATTTACATGGTTAAAGAGTAAGATATTTGCAGCATTTCTAGACTACAGTAGAGAGGGTAACCAGGGTAACAATAATCTGGTATCCAGGCTAGGACTTATTATGACTGGGCTGTAAGACTACATAAAGGATTAACAACATTTCACAAAAGACACAAGTTATATTAAAGAATTCCAGTAAGATGCTACAGAATTTTTAAACTGTCTGTCTCAGTCTTTTTACATAAATTTGTCTCCCGTGAAATCAAAGCGGCAACAGTATAATCTTCCCTACTAATACGTTGGTGTATTTAACCTATGCAGTACAAATAATTGACAAGGGTACATAAGTTGAAATCAAGTGTTATTTAAAGAAATGTATATCTCCATTTCATACCCTAACACAATTAGTGTGGATCTCGACCCCAACGTCTGTCTAATTAATCTAAAGGCTATTTTAGATCAGATACCCGAAGTTCTCGAAAACAATGGAAGATGTGTTTATGATTGATTTAAAAGTAAAATATTAATTATTCCAAACATTATATAAATGCTCGAGATTTTTTAATTTGGCAAGGCTAAGTGCTATATCAATAGACGCGTGGTTGTTTGTGAAAAGAGTGTTTAGTCATGAACAAAGTGTGTTCCATTATTCGACATTCCACTCCAGAGTCTCGACATGTTCGTTGTATTGTTCTATATCAGTCATTGACGATACAACATCGGTATTTGTGCGAATTTATAGAAGTAACATGTTAAATTAAGCCGTTATTGATATAATAATTGTTTAAAACAACAGGTGACCGCTATCTCATAACAAAACATCCAATAATACAATGGGCAAATCACGGTTATTGTTAGTGTCAATGCACTATATTCGTTGTCCACAAGTTATTTTTTAATCGTGCCAAAAACTCGGCTTTGATCGCGTTTATTTAGTTTTACAAAAAAAAAAAACAGCCTAATAACTGCGTTGGAAACTAGTGGTTGAAGACTAATGCACTTGAAAGGCAGTACACTAAATCATAACCGGTTTACATAGGCAATTTAATCATTGGCAGGAAGTGACATATTTACCTTCATTAGCAGTGGGTTTTCGTACATGGTTTCCCGCTGAATACCAAGTGGATTCAAGGTCTCGGTAGCCATACTCCTTCAAATTGATAAGATAAGGTTGCCACTAATGGTCACTAATTGTGGCGCGGTCTTGCTGCAAACGGATCAAAACAACTGAGCGAGATTTTCATGAATATCCGTTTGCGAGTGCGTTTTGTGTTGTTACTATGACGCTGCGAGGTCAGTGCCATAGTAACCCTTATATGTAGTCATGTGATCACTCAAGCACCAATCATCGCCTTTTATATTTTTCATTTGCATACTGTATTACTTTTAGTTCTATCTTCTCGCGAGATTTATCCATTGCCGCCAGAAAAAATAACCCTGTGATGGCGTCCTTTATTCCAACATGGCCGCGTCCACAGCGTGATCAATTCGGATAAACAGGTAAAAATATCAGTTTAAGTCACTTTGATCACTACGACTTTTAAAGATCAAGTAGAAATGTCAGAAAGTATTAGACTTCAACTGATGTTTGCTCATCATGGAACACTTCGAAATGTGGGTTGTTATGATCGCCGATCATTGTGATGATTTCTATTTCTAAATACTAGTAATAATCACAAATTTCGATTGCCAGTTTCCCCGAAACCCACCAGTACCACCGTGTGACTGAGTTTTAGTTTTAATATTTTTAGAAGACAAAATATCGTAAAATTGTAAAACGATTTTGTCGAAGAAACCGATTACCAAACCAAATTTAGCGTGGATTGAATTATGAATTCACGAATTCTGCGTCATTGATTTTGTGTTTGCGTCATTTCGCTTTTATCGTTGGAGGCATCGAAGTTAAACTCAACCACTTACTGTGGTCACAGGTCAGAGAGGTTGTGCCTTTAATTTGACCCTGTCTCGTGACGCAAGTCAGTGGCCTACTGACCTTAGTTTGACACTTGTTTTTGATTCAGGTTTGCATAAATTACCGCTCGGTTGTCTGTAATTGTCTTTCCCATGAGTCTTCCTGTGCATTGTATTCCGTTGACGTTCATTGATGCTCATCGATAATCGTACGTTTTTTCAAAATTTGGTATTCAATATTCCTCACTATAGGTTGTCCACCTTCAAATTGTATTTTTTCCCTTTTAGAATTCAACAGGCATGGTTACTCCAGCATGTACATGAGAGGTCAATCTAAGGACAGTAGCAGACTTGTTGTTTCCAGCCCACAGGTTGACAGTCTCATTGCCGGAAACTTTCCTTCTGTTAAATTTCAAGCTGATCCGTGTAGAGGGAGATGTCGTCATCAAACACAGGTGAAGCTAGCGAACTCCTCAGTTTGCTAGAGTCTAATGATCTGCATTTGGTGGAGGACGTGAAAACAATGATACATGAGAACTTAAGTACAGGTAATAAGCTTAATAAAAACCCGGACAGTGTCTGATATTTTAGTTAGAATAAAATATAGTTTGCTAATAATTATTACCAGCATAACATGAGCCGATGTTGTTTGATTTCTCAGTGGTACTCATGAGTTATCAATTTACTTTTATAAAATATTTATTTACAAACTTAAAAATGTTCTTTTTGGTAGCTCGTGAACCATGCTATTTAAATGGGTTATTTGATTACTACATTGCATCTGGATCACAGCGAGCTATGGAAATACTTACCACAGTCAGAGAACCTTTCGACAAGGTAATCGCATACTAGTAAATCTATTTGAAATATTTATTGCTAAATGCATCTCAACCAAATATACCACATAACGTTTGTAATTCACAAATTTCTATGATTGTTGTTGCTGGTATTTATTCAGGATGTGACAAAAATAAACACACTTGAATTCAGGTTTACCTGAATTGAAGATTGTGATGGATGATCTCACGAGACATACCAATGATTTTATTTGTGAATACGTACGATATGAAGCAGAAGATCATTATCATTATGCATATTATTGATTTTTGACTCCCGTGTGCGAAGCACAAAAGGGAGTCTTTGCAGTCACCCTGTCTGTATGTCTGTATGTATGTATGTATGTCACTTTTTTTGTTCCACCGTTATCTCAAGAACCACTAATCAAATTTTGGTGAAACTTGGTACATAGATGCTCTGGGATAATGCGCAGAGTTGATTAGGTTTTGGTAAAAATCTATGAATATTATTTACCTAATTTGCATGATAATTAGCTGATTTTTAGCTCTTCCAAGACTGTTCCACTGATATCTGAAGAACCACTCATTGGATTTTGATGAAACTTGGCACATAGATGCTCTGAACTAGTGCGCAGATTTGATTAGTTTTGGGTAAAAATCTATGAATATTAATTATCTAATTTGAATGATAATTAACTGATTTCAAGCTGTTCCATGACTGTTCCACTGATATTTGAAGAACCACTCATTGGATTTCAATGAAACTTGGCACATGGATGCTCTGAACTAATGCGCAGATTTGATTAGTTTTGGGTAAAAATCTGTTAATATTATTAATTACCTAATTTACATAATGATTAATCAATTTTCGGCTTTTCCACTGATATCTCAAGTACTAATCATAACATTTCAATAAAACTTGGTACATAGATGTCATATGACACTGCACAGACCTGGTAGTGTTTAGGGTAATATCAGTACATATTAATTACCTAATTTGCATAATTAATTAATTTTCAGCTTTTGATATTTCAAGTGGTAATGATCACATATCAATGAAACTTGGTACATAGTTACTTGAAGACTGTGCAGAGACCTAATTAGTTTTGG